CATCTGTGAGAGGTTTTTTGAACCTTGTCACTCGCCCCCATGAGTATTTGCGTGTGCGTTATTATTTCTCAATTTGGTTCAGGAATCGAAACCGAGACCTCTTCCTCCGGTGCCCACAGTGGCAATGCCAAGCCGTTGGGCCACTGAGGTGGTCAAATATGTAGCTTGATGGACTGCTGAAAACTGATCTCAAGCAAGACAAAAATGTTTTAATTATGAAATTAATATTATAGTGGTGCTTCATAATATCATGATTCTGTCTCATCGAGTATATAACCAATAAATCAGTACAGAGTACTAAAAAAAAACCGACCTCAAAAGTACGTGGAATTACATATAATTACCAAGTTTTATATGTACATTTTTTTATGTGCAAGTTTTGTTGAATGCGGTTACCGGAAAATGCGCAAACCCGGATTCATCCCCTAGTTCGCCGCCATACGGGACTTGACATAGGAGGTAATAAAAATCGGTACTCACTACCTAAACTATATTGAGAGAAAAACGCCTTGAATTAAAGAATTGCAAAATCAACCATTAAAATAATTGCTCATTGTACTAAGATTCAGGCGCTATTTATGAAACCGAGAACGGTTACCATGCCGGACTGCCACGCAGAGGTCCCAGGTTCGATTCCCGGGCCGGGTGAAATATTTATATGGCCTACATTTATTTCTCTCGAGAGTTTGGGTGTAATTTGTGGTTGTCTACGTGTGTGTCCATGGCACCCGCGAAACAGATTTTCCCTAGTGCGAGGCTATGTTGAGTGTGTGCGTTATTATTATTATTACTGATTTCTACCTGCATAAGTTCCGGTATTTGTGGCAACGCACGTTCGATGCTGGACATTTCGAAGCTGTCCGTAGACATTCCTGTGTGACCTGAAACAATACAGTGTAAGTTCAGTAAGTTCTCAAATAGATTTGTTGAATTAAAATGGAAACATACAATGCAATTAAATAAAAAATTAGCGGTGGTACAATGGACGGTCTTTAAGTGATTTCTGCCAGATAACCTTTGGATGGAAGAAATTATATAACTCCCAAGAAAATGTACTTTTGTAGTAATAGAGTTGTAAGTTGTATTATCAAAATTGAGACTAGCCGATACGTATCTACGTTAACAACTAGTTACAATTTTAACCAATAAATATATACGCAATAACTTTAAGCTTATACAGGTAATTAGTATAGTCTGTTCTAATCCATTTTGAACAAAAATCAAAACTGTTTGGTCAAAATTCTAAAAACAATCACTCAATATATCGAATAGGTAACACTTTCACGTATATTTCGAAGATTACGACTTGATATCTCATCACTTTTTCCAACAATATCTATTTGAATAGCATCGTAAAGTCGTATTTGAAAAATGGTAGTCCAAAAGTGAGGTTATTTTTCAACTATACAACTATGACTTGTCTATGGTCGCATAGTGCTGTACGAAAAAAAACATTCGCTTCATTCAATTAAAGTTTCTGTAATCGATTAGTAAATTGAATATTTCAATCGCAATCAAACGAGTATAAGGATTTAAAATTAAGATTTCGGAAATTTTAAATAAGTATGCATAAATAGGTTATGTAACGAAAACAGCTAGTATGACTCAATTTAAAAAATCGATTATTACAATTAATTAATCGACTTGTAGTTGGCATTACAACTGGCCGTCACTAAACCGTCTATGGTCGGGTCAGTGACTTGTTTGTTTACTTTTTGTTTAAGATGGATTAAAACGAAGTATAGTTGATATATCTCTACGTAACCAACTACATACATCAAAAGTGTCTAGGGATCAAGTGAATATTTTTGAAATAAAAATTATTTAAGCAATATTTACCAAATCCAGTCTTCCAGGACGACTTCTTACTTTAATGCTTATGTTTTATTTAACCGCTTACCCCTATATTTAATTAAAATAAACTAAAATTGATGTTTTTGCAAATTGTGGGAAAAAACTCAAATTAACGGCGTCAATTAAATGACAAAAAAAAATGGCGAAAATGATGATTTTGCTCATTTTTATTGTAAAGATAAGAAAATTAATAATCTGTATTTCCACCATTAACACGAATCACACAATTACAGCGATTTGGCATGCTTAAGATGAGTTCATCAAAATCACTTTGAGGAATGGCCGCCCATGTGTTTTGTAACAAGTCAAAATATTGTTGTAGAGTATGTACGGTATGCATACTCGGCACAGCTCTTCTTTGAAGCATATCCCATGCGTGCTCAATTGGATTGAGGTCTGGCGATTGAGCAGGCCACGGCAGAACGTTGATACGAGCTTCGGCAAGAATGCGTGTTACGACTCTAGCCGTGTGTGGACGTGCGTTGTCATGCATTAGTTGAAATGAATCACCCAACTGGCCTCGCAAAGGGATGATAACATCTGAAACAATCCTCTCTGCGTCAAGTTTACGCATTGAGGTTACCCCTGATCCAAATGAGATCGGTTCTTCCGCCGATCCAAATACCGGCCCATATCATTATTGTTCCCCCACCATATGGATGAACTTCCTGACAATATCTCAAACGTTCATGACGTCCAGATGTTCTCCAAACTCGAGTACGTCTTGTATCCGATCTCATACCGAAGCGGGATTCATCCGAAAAGCACACATAGCGCCAGTCTTCTTCCTCCCAGTTTCTGTGTTCGCGAGCCCATCGTAAACGGGTCCTGCGATTGCAGGGTGCAATGGGTGGAACTCTTAGCGGCCTTCGGGATCGCAGACCCACTTCACGTAAACGATTTCGGATTGTTTGATCGCTTATTAGCAAGCCTGAGGAGCTGTGGAGCCTCGTAACCAACATCATGGCGGTCATGGTACGATTCCGTCGAGCAGTATTTTGGATATACCGGTCCTGTCTGCGAGTCGTGATGCGAGATCGTCCTCCATGTCGCTCGGCCACGCTGCCCGTCATGCGATAGCGCGTCCAGAGGCGACTTATGACGCTCTGTGTAGTGTTAAGAGTGAAAGCCACAGCACGTTGCCTGGAACCAGCTTCCAACATTCCGACGGCTCGCATCATCACTTCTCGGGTTAAATGATGTCGTCTCTCCATAATAATGTAAATTGTTTCGGTTCCGATGCAGATATTGTAATGATTTTGTCAAAACGCTATAACTCGTTTTTATACAAAACCACATTGATAATCGATTTTCTTCTTATTATCGAATTTTAAACAATATTCCTTATTTAAATGTTAAAACTCACTAAAAAGTATCAATAGCGATACAAAAAAGTTAATATAATTAACCCTAATTGCAGCAATACTCTTAAACGTACTTGATCCCTAGACACTTTTGATGTGTGTAGTTACAATTTTAACATACTCATGAATATCATAAACTACTATAGTCTGTCTTTTTTGAAGACTGAGTAAGATGATATTTGTAGGGTTTTCATCAAATCTTAAATAGTTATGTAGTTGTTGTCGATAATTTTATCGATAGATTTGTGAAAGAAGATTAAATTTTGCCAAAAATTACTGAATTGTAAAAGTTACGACGTTGCAATGATTACTTATTGTGTTACAACCTTCTTTATTCTTATTTTGATAATTAGCTTACTAGTTATTTAAACAAGAGTAGCCGGATTTGATTATTTATATAGAATTAAAATGAAAAACTTTAAAATATGTTTCCACTTTATATTTTTCATAAACGTAGAAGTGTGACTTGCACTGCTTAGGTATATTTATGTTTGGAAATTAAGTTTTAGAAATTTTATATTTATAGGTGTAAGAATATATCGTCGGTTAAAAGGTAAAACTCACTAATAGCCTAATTGGCCAAAGGGAGATAATTAAGATTTTGTATTTTTTCATTATGAAAAATCACTAAAGGACTGGTATGTATTAAAACATGAAGGACACCACAGACTTACTGAATTTTTCTTGTCATAAATGTTCTTCCCAATAAAGCAAAATTGAAAAAATCTAGTTTTTGAACAAAATGTCACTTAATGAGTTTTACCTTTTAACCGACGATATAGTAGTTTACGATATTCATATATAGGTATTGGTTTTATTATTTATAAATATATGTATATTTGTATTTATTTATCGATATTTATCTATTGATTAGTAATTAATCTACACCGCCGTCTTTTCCCTGTGAATTATATAAAATTACTTCCATCCAAAGGTTGTCTGGCAGAAATCGCTTAAAGCGACAAGACCGCCCATTATACCACCAGTTACTTTTTTAATTTAATTGTATTGTATTTGTTTCCTTTTTTAGTGTACAATAAAGTATTTTTGTATTGTATTGTAGTTCTAAATACAGTACATGTATGAGAGATATATATAATATGTATGTATGTGTATGTGTCAAAACTGACAATTGAAATGAACTTGCGCTCAGTAATCGGATGAATAATGGGTAGAGAATGATTCAATGAAAAAAGTTCGGCTATTTATTCCATAAGCGTGACCAATATTCAGTCGATAGTCGATAGAATATTTATCGTCTGCAATCACTAGCAGGCAACACTTTTGCACAGCAAACTGCCATTTTACTTCGTCTTCAGACTATACATATTCATTTTACTATATATTCCTAAATAATGTCAGTAACTAACTCACAGAACAATAAACACAGTAGAAGTGGTTAGTTCGCATCTGACGCGTGCCAACAGTAGGTCTCGTTAGACCTTCTTGAGCTCAGTTAGCCATTTTAGCTTTGTATGGTATGGCTGTGGCAATCTTTCGTGCAAATTTTCTAAAATTCTAGAAAAATGTCTTGTTGTGCTGTTTTGAAGTGCATAAATGAAAGCCGCACCAAAGATATTACCCGTGATGGTATTTCATGTCATCGGTAAAACTTATTTTAATAAATCTTCAATTGTCTATTTATCGAATTGATTTTTTGTACTGTAACAAACGAAAGTAAACAATTATCCCAAAGTAATATGGTCAAGTTCTATCTTTTGGAGAACTAAGTAAACGTCTCGAATTTTCCAAATTCACGAGTGTTTGTTAAATTTAAACTTAACTTATCAAAATAAAGTTAATTATGCAACGTGTGCGTTAAAGAAGACGTCTGTTGTCGAGAAGATACTACTTTTTGTTCGTGTAGATGTTAATAATTCGTCGTAGTCTAGATACTGGCCGCAAGATGGCAGCACGTTAACAAAGCAAAATAAAACTTTTAACGATATAATGACTGGGTAAAATTTAAATTATATGAACAGTCCAGAATTTGTCACATCTTTTGAAATTACAAACTATGACCAATCATTATCAAGATTTCGTAGTGTTAGTAATCGAGTATAATAGAATAGATCTTTTATATAGAATAAATATTTTTCTTTCGTGAACTAACCTTCTGGTCCAGTCCTGTCCGTGCTCATGATGCTGAGTCCACGCTGCAGAGTTTCCTTGATCTGCTGTTCCACCCGAGGGGACAGTTCGGCTGGAGATGATGGTAATTCCTCAGCGCTCTGCATTCAGCATGTGAAATTAATTTATATTAAATGTTATTTATTTACCCGTACGATGTTTTTTGTAGAAAAAAAGAAGAAAATACTGTCACAATGGGGTGTATGAAAGGACCATCTCCCAAGAACGTATCATTTATTTCCTGTATTTCTGGTGCAACCAGGGCTATAACCGGGGAGTACCTCGCTTTAGTTCATTCAGGGGATTACTGGGACCTTACCTGGTGCTGGTTAAATTACAGGCACATGGGACTTGTCAACTTATGCTCATATGCAAGGAGCAGTGGCAGTGACCTTGAGAGCTTCGCGATTTAAAGTCCTTGGTGGTACTGCAATTGTTCATAAAAAAGACCGACGGTATACGGCATCACTTGTTCGTCCCATCATCCATCGTCATCAACCCATCAGACTTCACACGTTTTCCAAGGGTTGTGAACCTTCTTCCGCTTGCAGGTTTGATCATGATGTTATCCTTCACCGAAAAGCTCATGGTGAATTTCGCACATAAACACGACGGCCTGTTTGAGTGGCGGTGGGTGAAAAGTGCCAGTCATCAGAAAATGGACATGCAGAAAGAGACCGACCGGCGGCTGCCACTGGTCCCAGCGCAGGCGCGCGCTGACGCCGGCCAGCTGCGCCGGCGCCGGGCCCCTGCGCAGGCGCACGCGCGCCGAGCGCCGCCGCCGCGCGACCGTCACCAGCCACGCGCCGCCGCAGCTGCCGAGCCACAACCAGCGGACCGGGTTTATTACACGGAGGTCGAGCCAAGAAAAATGCGAACGCGCACCAAAATGTAAACGTAGCTTCCAATTATAAGTATTGATGTGTTGAGCTTTCAACGATATGCCAACAGGGTAGAGTTTAAATCATATTAACAGTCCAGAGTTTGTTACATCTTTTTAAATTAGAAACTACATCCAATCATTATCAAGACTTCATAGTAAATATTAATATATACATAGTAAACGTAAATTTAAAAATTACAATTATAAAAGCGACATCTCTTGTCAGCGATGGTAACTGTGCAGGCTTAGAATAATAACGCATAGAAACCTAGTCCGCACACTCTAAGTGAGGCAAATTGAAGCGCGCCCAAAGGGCCTACACGAGCGGGTGGGCCTTCAGTGCTCAAGGTCAACTTTCACCGCGAACAGCTCCAGAATTTTAGCTAAAAATGACGAAATGTACGGTAAATGAGTGTAACAATACGTCAGACAAACATAAAATAGATACTAACATCACATTCCACAAGGAAGTAACGCGTTTCAACTTGTATTTTTACATAAATATTCACTAAAACCGAAAATTAACGTACTACTAAAACTAGCCTACATGAATTTGATTTTTGCCTCACTTGTGACAGTTCGTTTGATATGAAACTATCATTCTATGCGTTATTATTTTAAGTGTGCAGGTATCTCTCTGAGTGAAGAAATAAATCTCCCACAGATGGCGTTACGCCAAAAAGTCGTTAAAAATTAAAAACAAAGATCTGCAACAAAACACAGAAAATTTCGTAAGATTGGCTCGTTCCGTGGCTTAATTGGCAGAGCATCTAGCCTCAGGATGCTGGTTCGAATCCAGCCGGTTGTTATAATAATTATAACAAACTAGTGAAACAATTTCACAAAAGATAACTCAATATATATGTATGTATGAATAGAAATATTGTACAGATAAGTCTCATCATGAAAAAAAATAAGATTTCATTTTAATTCTACTCGCCGCTTGCTTTAAGAATGGTTCAAAATTCTCAAGTGTCAAGTGGAAGGTAATAGCTATAATTTGCATTATTAATATTAGTACATATTCAAAGTATATTCCACCAAAAATATTAAACAATATTAGGAACAGGATAATAAGATAATAGGATAATAATAAGACTCCATTATATGTGTAAATCAGAAACGTTTTTTTAGGTCATGGTAGTAAAACATCGTAACATTCAATGAAGTTAAAAATTAAGATTTCATAGCGTTTCAAATTACGAATGTATAATTCTTGGCGACAGCGGTTCTTATAGTAATCGAGGCTTAAGGCAAGGCCATTATTTTTTTCTTCAGTGACTAACTATAATTGTATAATTAGACTGTGAATTTTCCCAAAATGTAATAATAAATAAATAAAAAATATATATATACAGTGTGTTTATTCTCGCCATATTTAAGAAATTAATAATAGAAATAATGCCTAAATCATGTTAAAAAAAACATATTCTGTTCAATATTCTAGCTAATAGGGAATCGGACAATTTTTCAGAAAGTGTCTAGAATTAACTAAAATAGATATGTACAGCCATGAAAAATAATATTTTATTAAAATAAAGCTTAATAGTACAATAGCACAATAACTGAAAAAAGTGTTTTGTAATTTAGATTTGGTACTTACCAACTTCATTGTTACATGAAAGTATTATGATTACGAGTGTATTCTTATCCGCGTAAACTAAACGTCTCATATCACCCCATAAGTAGTGCAGGTTCTGGTGAACCTGGTAGCAGGTACGAGATTTTTAAAACAAACAATGTGTATGGAAAAAGGACGAAGGACTATTTAATTCCAACATTATTTAATGATCTTCCTTCACACTTAAAATGTTTGCAAGGTAATAAAAGTTACATAAAAAATGAATTAAAGAAATATTTGTTAGATACATTGTAGTAATTTAGAGAGCTGTAATTGAGTAACACAATGAAATGAAAAAAAAAAAAAAAAAGCTATTCTTTTTTGCACTAAAGTCTATCTCAATAGGGATGAGTTCTGTGACACTTCTAATTTTTACGATTTATAACTAATCTGTCGACCAGGTTACAAAAATAAATAGTAAATTTGTTATAATGTACCAAAATCAAACAATATTTGTTGTAGATGTAATTTTAAGTCAAATTTGTGGTATATGTAGATAGAAAATTAAATAATAAATATAAAAATAAGTTACCCCAACTGCTTCATGCGTAAAACGGATTATTTATCCATAGAGATTTACACCATAGAATCGATAAATCGAGGCATTACATTTTTAGAGGTTAGACCGAGGTCAACCTTGTCAGGGGCTTTTATTTTGTTTTTAGCTTTGCGTGATCTTTTTGGAGTAATTGTTCAAATTCCGTTTTGTTGCTGTTGATTTTATGCTTTATTGTCGACTTTTTGTTTGGTTGTGTAGTTTTTAGGCATAGACACAACATAAATTACCCTAATTGCTTAATGTGTAAAACGATAAATTTATCCATAGATATATTTACACCATTACTTTGTTCATTAGTTGTTCTTAAATTAAATTATTTTCTGTAAATCAATTCCCTCTTCGTTACAAATTATCTCGATAAGATATTTAAATCGATTTTTTTCATGCGATTTTACATCACTACATTTCTAGAAACTTCAAATTTCAAACGTCACCGGAATCATCCCTATTGAAATGGATTATAAATCTTGTTTACATACCAAGCAAAACAAACTACGCGAGACTAGAATTGCGGCGGCACTTATGTGGAATAGCCGAGTGCATGAAGAAAGAAAGAAAGAAAGAAAGAAACGTTTATTCAGCTTAATATAATTCAAGCTGAACAGGTAATTCACATTAATTATTACATATACCTATCTAAAAGCTGAAACGGATCCAACTCAGCATAATGTTACAGCGCGTACGCCTAAAGCGTTTGAGAAACAGATAGCAATACTTAGGCGGTTCCTTTGTCGGCTCACTGTATAAGTTTTGGTAGCACGTGCCGTGCAAGTTAACCTTGACCATGACCTTTGGATCAGGTGAAAAAAATAAGAATTTAGGATTTTTTGCGATTCAGTTTTTTTGTCGTTTAGTTTCAGTTCGGATTTAGAATAACCCCTGTAAAGATGGCGAGAATGCAAATCAACAAATTGTATAATATATCACTCACGTGTGACTTTATTATACACAGACTAATATTTAATATTATTTATACTCACTTAGGATCTTCCCCGATGAGTTTGAGGACGTCGAAACCAGAGCCCCGTTGCGCGGCACGGAGCTCCCTACCCGTACAACCCACCATCTGGATAAAGCAAACTATAATTAAAATTTAACTAAAATTTGTTATAATTATTTATACAAAGATCGAACACTCAGAAAAAATTCCTTCGATCCGGTCGGATTCGAACCGACGTCTTCTTGCATAACCGTGCCAGATGCTATACCAACTAAGCCACGGAACGAACTAACGGACCTCACGAATTTTTCTATGTGCTTCAGTCGTGTCTTTGTACTTGGTCTTTCAACGACTTTTTAGTCGTAGC